ATGTTAGCGGTAAAAAACTTTAAGTAGTAAAAATGAGACGAATGAACAGCTTGGAATTTGTCAAGGGCTGAGTACGAGCATCGCTACACAATATAACTCATTTGAAAAATGTGAGGAGTAAAATAATTTTTATAAAATAATGAAGCTATTAGGTTGCATCATAATTTTCCTTTTGCTAAACAAGTATGATGGATAGTTACGGTGCTCTCATTTTCCTTAAAGGGTTCACCATTCCGCCTTTTAGGCTTTGGACGTTAAGCTCTTCGCAGGATCGCTTGAGACACGCATAGTTATGAACTACAAATCTTGGAGTAAATGTGGAGACACCATTTTCAAAGACCTTTTATATTATTACCAACTGAGTGGGAACTTAGTTCTTTCCAAATTGTTAAAATTTCTTCAGGATGAGACTTCTGGAAACATTATAATTAATATTTCTGGGAATGTTTCGCATCTGTTGAAAATCTCACTAACGTCTTAAAGATTTAAGTTAAGTTAATAAAGGTTTTTCCCTCTAAGGCTGGAATAATGTATTTGGAAACAAAAACTATCTCTTCCAGGTACATCTGCCATAATGGAAATTGCTATGAAGCAAAAAAGTGGAAAACCCGCTTACTTCTAGAATCTTTTCAATTATTCAAAGTATTGAAGGGCACATTCAACCGAAGTTAAATTATCACAGCAATTCCTTTCAGTGATGCAACTATATTTCTACGCCTTCAGTTTCTAACATTCGCTATAGGAATCTGCAGATGAGATTTCTCCAATCGAAAATGTAGAAAATTGTGGAAATTCATAATAAAATTCAGGTCTTTCTAGCAAAATCTAATGGTCGGTTTTCAAATTTTTAAAATCCTTTTGACTTTTTAAAACATGCACAGGCTTTTTACCCATGATTTAAGTGTGGAATAGTGTTTAATCAGGAAGAAAAATAGGAAAAATAAATAACTTATGCTAGTGTTAGTTTAAACTGTTTTCAGAGTGGAAGTAAGGAGCTAAGTCGAGAGAACAAAAAGCTTCCTCAAGTATTCCTAACTTAGAAAATCGATGATTCTTAACCCTAACTTGCTTCTTTTTCCTGAAGGTAATGTTAACAAAATTTTTCAACACAAACGCTCAAAGTTACTATACCTCAAGGGGAAGTGCTTGCCATGAACTGAATCATTTACCCTAAATGAGGCAATTTCTGGTGCGTACCAACTTCTTAAAGTTACACAAGCAGTAATAAACTCCTAAGTATTGGAGTGGAATTTGGCCATAATCCAGAAAAGATGAGTCATTTTGAAAATCGGAGGTTACACTCGAGAAGTGCTTGGCCACAGCCGGCCATCCAACCAACCAGCGCCTGTCAGGATCACAGCTGATATTTGCAGTCGGCGATCGTCAGTTTGCCGGTTGGTTATCCGGCTTTGCGAGATCTTTCGACCCCCTGTCCCTCCGGTCACGCCCCAGCTAGGCATTTTCTAGCCGTATCTTTTCATTTTCCGACCTACACCAGATAAATATAGCTCATTCCTGCTAATTTTATCAGGCTTTGCTCCCGAAGTTTTCATAATTTCGTATTTTTCTAATGTGATAGGTTACTTCTGAGTTCCTGAGATGATTGATTTTTCTCTTCAGTTCTGCTCCCAACGTCGTCAACTGAATTTTCAAGATTAGCGCAACCAACTTTTTTTTCCTGTTAATATAAGGAGCAAAATAGGCTAAAATACAAGCAAAACAGGATCACGTCAGATTTTTTTCCTACTATTATAGTAAGGTTTTTCATTTACGAGCACTGTCTCATTAAAATTTTTCTAGAAGATTACTTCTTCGATTACCTTAGGCACTTACTATGACAGGAAGTCTTCCTAATATATGCGTATAGTTGGAGATAAAAACAACCATCTTTAACTTTTGAACTTACATATCATCGTAGGTGATTTTATGATTCTTTCTTATTTTAAAAGTGCGTGTAAATTCTAAATTCTGAATAAATAAACAAAAAAAAAGGCCGTTAATTTTTTTGAAAAAAAAACCCAAGCTTCCTGCAATTTCCAACAAAATATTCTAACTAAGATGAAAGTTTTGTTTTCAAACTGAAAATTAAGCTTTTTGAGTTTTGTGGGGTTACATTTCATTTTCTATTTAATTGTGATTTCATGTTTTTAATCAGCTATGTAATATGCTGTCTAATCTTGTCTGATTCATTAAAATATGATGTGCCGAAAGGAGGGTCTAAACGTTTGTTAGGATAAAAGGAATGGGTTTTCAAAGAGCTCCAAATTTCTGGACTGCTTTTTCTTGACTCAGCTATGACATTGATTGCCACTCTTTATATTTTCTAAAGAAAAGCATAACATCTCCTGAGCTCCTGAAAAAAAATTAAGTCAATTAATACTCTGATTCTATCTGTAAATCCAACCTTTTTTTGCATATTTTCACCGTAAAGATAGTATGACATAGTACTTCTTCAGTACTCTTTATCTTTTGTACACTAAACATGTCCATATAGGCAAAAAAACTTCACCGCAGCGATTGAAAAGAATTTTCGGAATGTGGACCATGGAAGGACACATGTGCAGG